AAAGTACAAGAAAATCTACCTCCCGAGGTGGTGGGTCGCTTCCTGGGGACGCTGAGGAGGGTGATGGGGAAGAGGTGGGGGTGCAGTGTGGGCTCAGACAGAGGCCTTGAGGAGGATGCCTTTGTGTCCCCTGCACAGAGGGGAGGACAGAGCTGGGGAAGGATAGGCCAGATGGGGAGAGAGGCATGAGTTGGCAAGGGTCTCCTCTCCAGGCCCTGCTCCCTGGCCTGGGTGAGGGCCAGGCAGTCTGTTTCTACTCAGATCGGACTCCTGGGCTCTTTCCTTTGCAGGCAGTGCACAAGGCCGTGCTGACCATCGATGAGAAAGGAACAGAAGCTGCAGGAGCCACTATTCTGGAGGCCATCCCCATGTCGCTGCCCCCAGATGTCAGCTACAACAGGCCCTTCATCGCCATCATCCATGATAACACCACCAAGGCTCCTCTCTTCGTGGGGAAGGTGGTGAATCCCACCCAGAAATAGCTGCCTCTCTGGGTTCAGCCTCCCCTCCCAAGCCAGTACCCTCCCCCCACGGCATTAAAGAATGACTGACCCAGCCCCAGCTGAAGTGTGGCGTGCAGATCTCTCATCCTCTTGTGTCTGAGTCTCCCTTTACATCCCCGGGAGGTGTGTGGAACCTGGGCCACGGCAGTCTTTCCTGTGTCCACTGTGTTAGTGGCTATTAGCATTCACACCGCCCAGTCCTGGGCCAGGCCAGGGTGAAATGTGGGCTGTAACCCACCACTTACTGACTCTTCCCCTATCTTTACGGAAATGCGCCAGGCTCTCCAGTCTCCTCTGGGAATCCCCAAAGGGAAATCGCACAGGCTCAGAACCAGCCCGCAGCCCCCACCTTCATCATGCGTCCAGCAAGTCCTCCTGCTAAGCACCGCCCCCCTGCAGTGCTCGCTGCGCTCCCCGCCCCCTAGACTCCCCCCCCACACACACACACACAGGGCTGCCAGCTGCTCTCAGAGTCTTCAGCTCAGATGGGGACATTGAGCTGCCACGTCTCCAGCAGCAGGTGGGGAAGACCAGGTCCCCTCTCGTCCCACCTTGTCGCCTGTGCCAAGCTTGGGTCCTGGTTGCTCACAGGTCTTTCCTGCAGAAAGCTCTGCTGGGGAACATGACAGGCTGGTGTCAAGGGCAGTGAAAGAATTTACCAAAGACAAAGAAAAGTTTAAGAGACATGCTGCTACGGCGGGCCACACAGACAAGAGGTGCCCGTGTGAGCGCTGGGGTGCACGTGCAGGGCCTTTTATGGGGAAGGGGCTGGTAAACACAGGGCCTGTGTGATCAGCTCTAGAACAGATTTTGCTTGGCTCTAAGATGGAGACATGGGGTTGAAGCAGACCAGTTGGTCAGGAGTGTTTCATTGTGTGTTTAGACATTACCCAGGGCAGTTACCTCCTGCTAGGATCAGAAAGGAATGAACTCTATCTTCCAAAGAGGAGCAGGTGGACGCCTAAGGGCTGGAAATTTGGGGGTAGCAGGGCCTTGGTGGGCCCCAGTTGGCTCCACAGCTCTGGCTGTTTATTCTGGGACCCTTTCCAAAGGGGCTGGCCTGGGGACAAATACTTCTGTCTTTGTCACTCCGTCTCTGCCCCAGGACCCTCAAACCTACAACTCCTAGGAGCAGGTCTCATCCCCTCAATGAAGAGAAGATTTTGGGGTCTCAGTCTGTATCACCTGCTCCAACTCATCCAGGATGTCAGACCCCCAAGGCCACTTACCTTATGCCCTCTTGTCTTCCCTAATCATGTGGTCAAGGTGCCCTGGATGGTTCTGAAAAGTTGTTAGAAGGATTCCTTAGTCATAGGTGGGGATGTCCAGCAGACCATCCACTCCCAGCGCCCCGCCTGCCCTCCCTTGGCTAAGCCGTGCCGGGGCCGCATTTCAACCTATCTTCTTGCTGCCCCACGGCCCTCCCTGCGGTCTTTGGAGGAAACCACAGCTCCTGTGCCACAGCCAGAGGCTGTCCTGGGAGCAGCCCTTTTCAGAAAGGGCCGTGTGACTCCTTCCATCCTCCAAGCCCTGCTGGAGGGCTACTGCAGTGAGAGGCCGGGCTGGAGCCCCAGCCTGAAGGAGCCAGCGCCCTGAACTCTCGCGGGAATGTGTCTGCTCTGTGGCAGGCTGCCCCATCCCACACGAATCTAGCAATCACCATCCAGCCTCTCACTGGGATGAATGTACGCCTAAAGAACTAAGTTGAGTCATATCCAGTTTACACCATTTAGGTCCAAAT